ACACTTTCCTACCTCACAGGAGTGTTGAGAGGATTAAATTAAAGATTGTGAGATAAAATAAGGTACCTAAAATAGACTACTGTGTACACTTCAGTCCTTAAGTAGCTAGTGTTTCTTGGAGAAAAAATATTTTTCTAGTAGTCTATTTTTGGCCAAATATAAAGTATTTTCATACACCTTGTTTTTATTTCAATTCTGGCTATGGGCCCAACCCTGCAAATACTTCTGTACATGAGCAACTTTAAGCATGCAAGTAATCACACTACACTAAACGGAATTACTTATGTGTGTAAGAGTTTGCAGGACCAGGATCTATATTTCTTTTCTTTTTATCTTTGTTATACAATAGAAAATTCTGACTTTGACTGTGTTACTAACACCTCTTGTAAGTTATAGAAAAAGCAGGCAACGGGAATTAAGCATTAAATAGTGTTATAAAAGTGTCACTTACTCGCAAAGCCCACTTCTGACCCAATGCTCAGGGTGATAAAAAATGCTTACATTTTACTTATTCCAAAAGGTCAGGAGCACTTCATACCATATGTAATATTAGAAATATCATGGAAAATAAAGTTTTAAAAATAAAATCAGCATCTTCAAGGCTAGTACTGAAGGAGGCATTTTTACAAAATTATATTAGAGGCATCAGCAGATAAAAGCTGAGACCACAATGCAAGAGCTCATCAGAAAAGATTACAATCTGATTTAATATTGTGAGGAAAGAGGGGGAATAAAAACAAAACGCCTTTGACCATTTGGATCAAATTCTGCCCTAACACCCTGTGTAAACACATTTACTGCAAAGGTCTGCAAGGAATGTACAAAGAAACCAGTGTAGATTTTGTCCCTAAATGTATTATTTGGAGTATAAAATTTTTCCACAGAATAGTAATACAACTTGCCGCATTACTTTTTCAAAATGTTGCACAAACACTAACTAATTAATCCTCACAACAGCCAGGCAAGGTCAGTAGGAATTATCATTCCAATTTTACAGGTCAGAAAACAGAGGCAAAAAGATTAAAGGCCTTACCATGGAACACATGCAGCAAGTTATCAACACAGCTGGAATTAGATAGCATGAGTTTCTGGGCCTGAACAGCCCTCATTCATCTAGCCCACATTCCCTTTGTGAAATCAAATCTATATTAAGCAGAGCTGGGCCCAAGCTGCAAAATCTGGAATTCTAACATGCATGATATGATGGATACAGCACTGGGCTGGGAGTCAGGAGAGCTGGGTTATATGCCCGGTTCTGCCACTGATGAAGTTGAGCAAGTTACTTCACCTCACTGTGCTACTTCTTCCCCCATCTATAGATGAAACTTACCCATCTGTGCAAAGTGCTTGGAGTTTTACAGATTAAAAGAACTATTAATTATTATTTTGTGACATTCATATAAAAGTTTTTAGTTCAAGACTATTTCTAGTGCTAAAGAAAGGATGGATAAATACATAAATGCTAATAACTGTAACATGAAACTCAGACATGTCCACTTTAATTTAACCCCCCTAGACACATTTTATAATGCTTTTCACCATGTGGGAAGGAAAAATTGTACTATTTTGTTTAAAACAAACTTTGTAGCTAAACTTTACAATGTGCAAGTCACTAAAAAAACTCATAAACCAGTCTTTTGAATGCAGAAACTATCAAATGGTTTCTCAGCACTGAAATATCAACTGCACACTATGGGTCCAGTCCTGCAACACCTACAGATTAGTTTAACTCCTGCATGTAGCCCCTCTGACTACCCATGGAGCTCAGCAAGAGTACTCATGTGCATAAAGTTACTCCTGGGTGTGTCGGCAGGATCAATGCCAAGTAATGCTTTTGTAATCACACTGAACCATGGAACAAGATGAAATAGATTAATAATAGTTGGACTGATATAGATCAACAACACAGTAGGAAACTCCCTTATAGCTTAAGTATACATTAATTACTCTTCAAACAAATCCAGTCACAACATTTACCTCTTCAACTTTAGAATTAAAAGCAAAAATCTCAAAAAGAAAATCTTCACAGTGCTAAAAACTTTTGATCAAAACAGTTTCTGTGCATTCTATTTCAGTAATATCACTTGGGCCATTATAGTTGCAAGGACACACTCAATTAATAAGCAACAGAGAGGCCTGTGGCACCTTTAAGACTAACAGATGTATTGGAGCATAAGCTTGTGTGGGTGAATACCCACTTCGTCAGACGCATGTAATGGAAATTTCCAGAGGCAAGTATAAATATGCAGGCAAAAATCAGTCTGGAGATAATGAGGTTAGTTCAATCAGTGAGGGTGAGATCCTCTGCTAGCAGTTGAGGTATGAACACCAGGGGAGGAGAAATTGCTTCTGTAGTTGGATAGCCATTCACAGTCTTTGTTTAATCCTGATCTGATGGTGTCAAATTTGCAAATGAACTGAAGCTCAGCAGTTTCTCTTTGGAGTCTGGTCCTGAAGTTTTTTTTGCTGTAAGATAGCTACCTTTACATCTGCTATTGTGTGGCCAGGGAGGTTGAAGTGTTCTCCTACAGGTTTTTGTATATTGCCATTCCTTGTGTCCACTCATCCTTTTACGTAGTGACTGTCCAGTTTGGCCAATGTACATAGCAGAGGGGCATTGCTGGCACATGATGGCATATATAACATTGGTGGACGTGCAGGTGAATGAACCGATGATGTTGTAGCTGATCTGGTTAGGTCCTGTGATGGTGTTGTTGGTGTAGATATGTGGGCAGAGTTGATATCGAAGTTTGTTGCATGGATTGGTTCCTGAGTTAAAGTAGTTATGGTGCGGTGTGTGGTTGCTGGTGAGAATATGCTTAAGGTTGGTGGGTTGTCTGTGGGCGAGGACTGGCCTGCCTCCCAAGGTCTGTGAAAGCGAGGGATCATTGTCCAGGATGGGTTGTAGATCACTGATGATGCGTTGGAGAGGTTTAAGCTGAGGACTGTAGGTGATGGCCAGTGGAGTTCTGTTGGTTTCTTTCTTGGGCTTGTCTTGTAGCAGGAGGCTTCTGGGTACATGTCTGGCTCTGTTGATTTGTTTCCTTATTTCCTTGTGTGGATATCGTAGTTTTGAGAATGCTTGGTGAAGATCTTGTAGGTGTTGGTCTCAGGTGTTGGTGTTACAAGCTCAAATCCCAGAAGCCAAATAAAAAGAACTCAAAATGTATTAATTATTTTTAAGAATCTCATGAGTGTTAAGCCAATCTCGCGATTTCTGGGGTTCAGCTCATGATTTTTGAACACTTGAGGTTGGCAATACTACAGGTAGTAAATTTAAAAAGAGTTACAAGAAATTCCAAGTTCTATATCTGCCCCTGAGAATCCTTGCCTATTGGCATGGTTCAGCAATCACATGGTCCTAATTTTTTATAAAAAACAAACAAACAAGCAAAACACAACTGTTACTGGACCAGTGTTTCTCCACTCCCATTCTCCAGGAGCAACTTCCAGAGGAGGAGTAGCCAACACAAGAAGAGGAGTACAGTACGTAAGCCTTACTGAGTTGCTGAGGGTGCTACCATGGGAGTGACACAGTGTTCCCTCATCAGCTCTCACGGTGCATGAAATCATCTCTATGGCCTCAATAATTCACAAACCTCACTAACCTGATCCCCCTTAAATTATTTCTGTACATTACTATAAACAATATCCAAATATTTTAATACAACGCAGGCTTTGCTAAACTGAAGCCTTTACGGTTACAGGTATTAATATGGTAAGATGTCCAGTTGAAACAACTGAAGGTTCGCTTTGCCTCACTCAGAGGTCAGCTGTGAAATATCAGCATTCCCGCTATACAGATTAAGATTCAGAAACATGCTTTGCAGAGTAGCTGTTATGCACATCACACACAAACTGTTTAAACTCCATTCATTACATTAATCTTTTGTGACTTTCAGATTTTACACTTATTCCATTATTTTCTCCATATAAATTGTACTTGAATGAATGTCTTGCTTCTCCTTTAATGCAATCAAAATGCTGCAGATCACCCAATGATTCATGATATTTCTGTACAACAGCAATATGTTATCATAGATATGTGCTTCAATTCACTTCTCAACACCTTTTCCCTTTTGTATGGAGTCAGAGGTGCCCACAAGTCTTCGCTCCTTCAGGTCCATGACAGGGGTTCATAGGTCTTGGAGTTCCAGTCCAATCTTCTCTTAACAGTCTCTCCATCGTATCTTCTGTCTTCCACATCCTTTCTTGCTGAACTCTTCCTCCCATGCTTTCTTTGTAAATCATTCTTCTCCCATTCGTATCACTTGTCCACCCACTTCAAATGTGCACTCTCCAGCCTATTTATTACTGGGAGTCCCATGTTCATCTTCCCCCTAATTTCTTCCATGCACACACTGTCTGCCCTCCATTTGCCTGCCATTCTCAATATATTACGTGCTACTACCTGTATCTTAGAATCATAAAAAATCTTTTTTCTTCCATATGCAAAAGACCCGACCATTTCTAAACCACAGAGCAGGCAGGGAAAAACACATGCAGCATATACTTTTCCTTTCAGTTTGTTACTTAAGTGAGGTCCTACAGTACTCCTTCTATCTTTTTCACTGTCACCCATGCACACTGGGCTCTTCTTTTCAATTCTCCAGATCTCTCCCCGATAACACTAAGGATATGTGTACACTCCAATAAGACACCTGCAGTCGGCCTGTGCCAGCTGACTCAGGCTAAGATCTTTCCTACCTTATAGCTTCTTGTTATGTTTCACTCTACAATAACGTTACAATCCTTATCCTCTGCTTATATCAATCTGTGGCCATGCAAATTACTCTGACATAAAAATCAGCATTATATCTTCATTACTCTTACATCTTCATTACAGTGCTGAGTTCCTATTTAAACAATAAATATGCTAAATATGGACAGCAGACATCTCTTCATGTCACAACACATGAAAAAGATACATAGCCTGTCATCTAACCAAGGCAAAAAAGGGGTATTAAGAAAACTCACCAAAGAGACAAATCAGTACTTACAACAGGGTATTTTGTGTTTGGGTCAAATTCTGTAGAATTTGCATCTGGAACACAAAAAATTCAGAATAACCACCATACGTTTTCATTGTCCTAGATCATCAGCTTTGTTGGCGTGTAGGGCTATACTGTGCCCTTAGGCACAGCCTTGTAAAGGTGTGTCTGTGTGTAACGTACAACACCCCAGGAGCAGCCTCAGGAAGCACAATGCCTCAGGGTAAGTCTACATATCAAGAAGGGAGTGTGATTCCCAACTCAAGGAAACATATCTGTGCTAGCTCTGATTGAGCAAGCTGCAACTAGCTGCAACTACACTCTATTTTTAGTGTGCCAGCTAGATCAGAGCTGAGTCTTCACGAGCTGGGAATTACACCCCTAGCTTGAAGTGCCGACATACTCATAGAGACTCATCAGAGTCACACTTCCTCCCCGATACCTACTTGTTCCTGAGGGTAACAATTTGCTGCTGGCCTAAGCCAGCACTAAATTACTACCCACCCTGCACTTATGTGGCTACTCTCCTCAATGAGTAGTGGGGTGGAGCCAATGCTCCTCCCTTTCCTCACCACTACCTACCCACCTGCTTGAGGGACAGAATATAGAGGTGAGCTGCCCAGTGTATTCCTATGCTTCTGAAACCAAGATCTGAGTAGCCTGCACAGGGGTAGAAAGGGAGTTCTTACTCCCTTACATAGGCATGTAATCCAATTTGCAATCGAGCTCTTAGAATTTGCTCACATTGATCTAAACACATAATACTATGATCTGAATAATATAAAGTTCATATAAAGAATAAGCTTTCTTCTAAGTGAACCAAATCCATACTAGGATACTGAACTCACCTTTCCAGTTTAAACAGTTTCTTGCAAACTCCACCACTGCCAGCTGCATCCCCAAGCAAACTCCTGCAAAGAAGAGAAGAGAACAGAGTTTCACACAATAAAAAGTAGAATTTGCAAAGTAGCCTCAATTCGGCCTTCAGAATACCCACAGTTTTGATTTCTGGCTACCCAGTTTGTACGTACAAACCCATACATACTGGGAATCCTGAAGACGGGTTGACTAATTGTGGGCACGAAATGTAAAGGTCACTCTAGACTATTCAGAATAATGATGTCCTTGGAGTCTTACTAAATAATCTTTTTTCATTTTAAATGTTATGTGCCTAGTAGGGATAGGCTACAGCTGAAAGTTTGGGTATGTTCAGATCCAAGATTTTGACCAGGCCCATCCCTAGTATCTAGTCAAAGAATTCACCATGCATCTAAGGCTACGTCTTCACTACCCGTCTGAATCGGCGGGTAGAAATCGATCTCTCGGGGATCGAATTATCGCGTCCCAACGGGACGCGATAATCAATCCCTGAATCGACGCTTGTACTCCACCAGCAAAGGTAGGAGTAAGCGCCGTCGACAGGGGAGCCGCGGCCGTCGATTTGCCGCTGTCCTCACAGCGGGGTAAATCGGCTCGGATACGTCGAATTCAGCTACGCTATTCGCATAGTTGAATTTGCGTATCTTAAATCGATCCCCCTCCCCTCCCCAGTGAAGACGTAGCCTTAGATTCTAAGCAACTCAAAGCAAGGACCACATCTTTTTATGTGTCTGCATAGCACCTGGCCGAGATCCTAACTGGACACTACTATCATAGAAATGTGTAATTAAAAGTAATAGCAATACAAAAATGATCAGACATAAACACGTTGAAAGAGATATTTTTGGGGATATATTAAGCTAAAATTATAATGTTGCTGATTTATTACTCTTAAAAAAGATACTCCAAATCAAATGTAAAATCTATGAACTAACTAAAGTGATTCTAAGGTCTTTGATGCAGGGTCTGTCTTTTTGTTTTGTGTTTATACAGCGCCTAGCACAAAGGGGGCCTGGTCCGTGACTGGGGCTCTTAGGTGATATTGCAAAACAAACAACAAATAATAGAGTCAGCACCTGTAACATAGAACTTGAATGCTGACTCGAGTCAGAAACCACTTACATTTTAGTTAGGCCCACGCAACTTTGCCAGGTAGATTTTAGATCCTATTTTAACGCTTACTTTAGTTTTATAAAAATTAACCACCTTTCTCTACATATCTTCAACACCCAGTAATATTTCCTTAGTTGAAAAATCTTACCAAGAAAAGGTTTTTTCTTTTTTCTTGCCCAAGATATTGCTTGGAGTTTGCCTTCTGTTCCCCTAAATCCAAACCCGCCTGGGACCAAAATGCCACTGTAATAAAATCCATACATAAAATGATTGGGATGTAAAATAAGACAAAAAAAGAAAGTTTCCGTGTGTCACTTAAAGGATAATCTTGTCAGGTTAAAATTAAATAAATATGGTGGTAAGGGGCACCACATTTTGTATAATCCAAGGTGCCAATTCTGGGTGATCTTTAATGAGAAATGTACCTCATCAACATGAAAAATCCATTGGACTTATTTCAAGTTTTGGAACATCTGCATCAGTGTTCTAGCCAAATTCAAATAAAGTAATTACATCCTCTCCAGTGAAATTCCTATTTCTTTAATAAGCTACAGAATTCTTCTTCACTCCTTAACCCTAAACTTGTTGGGTGGTATTTCTGGTGCCTTTACAATAGCTGCTTTTGGTAGTGGATGAAGTAAAATGTTCCCTTTAATTATACAGGGTGAATTGCTGGTCCCAGTGACATCAATCGCAAAACTTCTATTGATTTCAATGGGGCCACTCACAGTTTAATAATTTTGCAAAGTGGATTGATGCTTATAAAAACAGCCTTACAAAAATGTCATGAATATTTAGGAGCCCAGGCACAACATTTACTTACTCACTTTTTACTATGATGTTTGATGACAATGATCCTTTAGTCACATCAGAAAGGGTAGAATTTTTGAAAATGCCTAACTCTTCAAATGTACCTAAGCATGCAGGCACATTTAAAAATCCCATCCAAAGAGGCCAGAACAGAAGTTGAAGTTCTGGCCCAATATTTTTTAACTTGCTATTTCCTTCAGTATAAATCATTCTTGTCACAAACCATCATGAAGCTATTTCTTCCTGTCAGCAACAAAACCAAATTCCTAAACAAGTCTACCTGATATAGTGAATGGTTCAAAATCTTTTTAGTAATATATGATTTGCCATTTGAGATGCACTTTAGAATTAGTGTAATATTTTTACTTAAAATCTAAAATCTTTTCCACAATGGCTTTTACATTGCAAAGTACTGAGTTAATGAGAAGAAAGATAAGATGGCATTGGATATTGAAATTATACGAGACACTGGAAAAATCAGTTAGGAAAAAATTTATATTAAACAAAACAACAAATCATTAAACTCTTCTACTTTGTATACAGAATACTTGATGGTACCTACTCTGCTTTGCACAATTTTTGCCACGCCTGGTGGTATTTCACTGGGTTCTCAACTTCTGTAGAATGCTCAAGCTCTATTGAATCTATATACTAAGAAAGAAAAATATATGACAAAACAGTATTTCGTTCCACAGAAAAAGCAATATAATGCTATACTGTACAACAAACATTTATAGCATAAAAACAGCCTGCAGGACTTTTCAATGATTCTCACAATAAATCTGCACATAAATAATAGTAGCTAAAGATCCAATCCTGCAAGGACCCCTGCAGTGATGCTGGAACTAGGGGTGCTGTCGCACCCCCAGGCTTGAAGTAGTAGCAACAAACACCAAATACATGGTTTCCATCATCTGCACCCCCACTATAAAAATTATTCCAGCACCCCTGGACCTCTGTTTAGGTGCAGACGTCAGCCCATAAGGAATTCTTTGTAGGGCTGCATCTATCGTTATGGAGTGTGTAGCTTTATAACTGTAAGTCTCTCTTCTATGTACTTTCCTCCCTCTGAATTAGTTCAAGATAGCAACTATTCCAGATTGAGTCATACACACATTCTGGACCAGATCCTCAGCTGATGTAAATGAATGTGGCTCCAATGAAGTCGAAAGAGAAAAGAAGATAGTGGGGCAGTTATGGCATTGGACTGGGACTCAAAAGAGCTTGGTTCAGTTCCTGGCTCTGCCACAAACTTCTTCTGTGACTTTGGGCAAATCACCTAATCTGTGTCTCTATTCCCCCTCCATAAAAAATTATATTTAAATTCTTCAGGGCAAAGATTGTCTATTCTGTATGTATATATAGTGCCTAGCACTGTGGGGGTCCCAATTTCAATTATTTATACAAATAATAAATAATACACCAATTTACACCATCTGAGGATCTGGCCCATAATGTTTGTTTGTTCTTTGCTATTTTCTTTAATTTAAAATAAAAATCACCCACTCTGAAATTACACATTTTCTCTTTATCTATGAAAAAACATACCACTGGTGAATGACAAGATTGTTTGAGGTTTGTTTGACTGGTAGTTTTGAGGTGTGAGAATTACCTTCTATCCAACATTTTCTTCTTTTCCAAAAGATACAATAGCGAATATAACTGCATATTTTTATTATGCACAAATAGTACGTTTTATTGTTTTACATGGTTGAAAAGAGAAGCTAGCTAATGGTACATTTAAAATTAGTTCTGCTTTCACTGTCAAATACACCAAGTCAGCACATTTATAACTACACCTCTACCTCGATATAACGCTGTCCTCGGGAGCCAAAAAATCTTACCGCGTTATAGGTGAAACCGCGTTATATCGAACTTGCTTTGATCCGCCGGAGTGCGCATCCCCGCCCACCCGGAGCACTGCTTTACCGCATTATATCCGAATTCGTGTTATATCGGGTCGCGTTATATCGGGGTAGAGGTGGTATTTGAACATTATAGGTTTCATCATTCAAATATGCAAATGATGTATTATAAATTAGGTATCACTATGTTACATTAAAGGACTGCTTCAGAACACAGGATTAGACTGAGGAGCTGCTGGCAAAAAGGCTGGAACACAGGTGTTTCGCAAGAGCTCTGAAAGTGGAATTGGCTCTGGGGAAGCTTTGTCACTGATTTTGGCCTACCTTGTGCAACCTACGTGCATGCTTTGACCTACCTACGTGCATGCTTAACTTTATACATGCAAGTAGCTCCATTGAACCGCCGTAAGCCTCCTTGTGCATGTAAAGTTAAACGTGTTTGGAAGGATTGGGGCCTTGGTCATCTTTGCTGAAGGTGAATAGGGCTTGTTTAAATAATAGATAAATACAATTCACCCCTATGCAGGAAGCCAGTACAAGATTTTGAGCACCAATTAAGCCATCAAAATAGGAATTAAGTGGGACTTAAATGGTGTGTAGGCCTTGCACTGGCTCTTTACATGGGGGAGGACGATTTCTCTCGATGCAAATGAAATAGGATTCAAATCTCAGTGTCTCAACTGGGAGATAAATTATTTATACAGACTCACTCGTGTCTCAGATTTTACCTATCACTGAGCAGACAGTGCTTTCATAGTTAGTAAGGGGCTCCAACATTATTTGCCCCATCGTTTTTAGGGTCTTTTGGCAGAAGGGATAGTGCCTGCAGCAACTGAACAGCAAGTGCACACAAAGAGTCTGAAGAACTTTCCAGGAAGAAAAACAACTTGGGGAGCAAAGCTGTATCTGGCATGATGATGATAATACTTAAATAATGATAAATGATTCTTGCATTGTTGCAGCAAAACTCTGGAACCAAAGTAGAGCAAGCTGTGCAGTCGGCTTCAGAGATGGAATTTCTTACCTCTATGGTGTCTATCAGAATGTTATCTCTCACTAAGGCTGCTTGCTCAGCCTCTCCTGAATTAATTTGAAGAGCGGAGTAGCAGGGAGGTGTCTTAAGGCAACTGCTGTCAGATATGACCAAGTCATTGGAGCCTCCACTATCAGGGTAGTGCTCCACTCAATAAAATGAGAAAATAAAGGCAGAGCATATCAATTAATGTACCTCAATCCTAATGCCATCTACCATTCCTTGTCAATTTACCGCTCTTCCCAGATGAAGGGTCTTTATGGTGCAATTGCTCTGATGCCCCCGACTGTATAATTCACAGGGGTTCCAAAGCCACAGCAAGACTAAGGCCTGGTCTACACTAGGGGGGGATCGATCTAAGATACGCAACTTCAGCTACTTGAATAGCGGAGCTAAAGTCGACGTATCTTAGATCAAATAAAATTACTTACTTTGCGTCCTCGGGGCGTGCCCCGCGGCTCCCCCGTCGACTTTGCTTCTGCCTCTCGTCAAGCTGGAGATCAGCAGTCGACGGGAGAGTGATTGGGGATCGATTTATCGCGTCTACACTACACGCGATAAATTGATCCCCGATAGATCGATCGCTACCCGCCGATCCGGCGGGTAGTGTAGACGTACCCAAGGAACGGCACTGATGGGCAAATAACAAACAGATGTAGATCTCAGGCAAATTACAGTGCCCTACTTATAATTTTGACCAAGAGTAGTTACTGGCTTCTTGTACTAAAACAGCTGGTTTGATTATGCTAGGTATCCTTGGAAAACACTGTGTGGGAGCTAGAGCAATTAAAGTCTGGAGTTCAGGGTTCTGTTCTTGGTTCTAATAGGTGGTAGATGGCCTGTATTTTGCCTGGCTGGGCACAATTTAAAAAAAAGGGTTTTCTTATTCCTGATAGATCTGCTAATCACCTTCTCTTTGAAGGGACTACATCATAATCCCTACTTTTATTGTACCGAAATAGGTGACAGAAAGTGGAATGTGTCAGCATAGCCTATTGGACAGAGCACTGGACTGGGGCTCAGAAAACATAGGTTCTATTCCTGGCTCTACTATTAGTCTGCTGGGTGACCTAGGGTGATTTCACCTCTCTGTGCCTCGGTTTCCCTGTCTGTAAAATGGGGGTGATGATGTTGACCTTCTTTGTCAAGCACTCTGAGATCTACTGATGAAAAGAACTGGGCATTGTTATTATCAGTATTTAAGAGTGGTGTCCTGCCTGTTGTGAGGAGAAAGGTGGACAATGTTCTGGGAAGGCGGGGATGTGCCTTATAGTGATAGACTTAAGGAGCTCAATTTATTTACCTTAACAAGGAGAAGATTAAGAACATTAGAACTGCCATACTGAGTCAGACCAAAGGTCCACTTAGTTCAGTATCCTGTCTTCTGACAATGGCCAATGCCAGGTGCCCCAGAGGGAATGGACCAGATAATTATCAAGTGATCCGTCCCCTGTCGCCCATTCCCAGCTCTGGCAATTACAGAGGGTAGGGACACCATCCCTGCCCATCCTGGTTAATAGCCATCGATGGACCTATCCTCCATGAATTTATCCAGTTCTTTTTTGAACCCTGTTATACTTTTAGCCTTCACAACATCCTCTGACAAAGAGTTCCACAGGTTGACTATGTGTTGTGTGAAGAAATACTTCCTTTTTAAACCTGCTGCTGATTAATTTCTTGTGGTGACCCCTAGTGCTTGTGTTATGAGAAGGAGTAAATAACATTTCCTTATTTACTTTCTCCACACCAGTCATGATTTTATAGACCTCTATCATATCCACCCTTAGTGGCCTCTTTTCCAAGCTGAAAAGTCCCAGTCTTATTAAACTCTCCTCATATAAAAGCTGTTCCATACCCCTAATCATTTTTGTTGCCCTTTTCTGTATGTTTTCCAATTCCAATATATCTTTTTTTGAGATGGAATGACCACATCTGCACACAGTATTCAAGATGTGGGTGTACCATGGATTTATACACAGGCAATATGACATTTTCTGTCTTATCTATCCCTTTCCTAATGATTCCCAACATTCTGTTCACTTTTTTGACTGCCACTGCATATTGAGTGGATGTTTTCAGAGAACTATCCACAATGACTCCAAGATCGCTTTCTTGAGTGGTAACCTCTAATTTAGACCCCATCATTTTATATGTATAGTTGAGATTATGTTTTCCAATGTGCATTACTTTGCATTTATCAACATTGAATTTCATCTGCCATTTTGTTGTCCAATCACCAAGTTTTGTGAGATCCCTTTATAACTCTTTGAAGTCTGCCTGGGACTTAACTATCTTGAGTAGTTTTGTATCATCTGCAAATTTTGCCACCTCACTACTTACCCCTTTTTCCAGATCATTTATGAATATGTTGAATAGGACTGGTCCCAGTACAGACCCCCTGGGGGACACCACTATTTACCTCTCTCCATTCTGAAAACTGACCATTTATTCCTACCCTATGTTTCCTATCTTTTAACCAGTTACAGATCCATGGGAGGACCTTCCCTCTTAGCCCATGACAGCTTACTTTGCTTAAGAGCCTTTGGTGAGGGACCTTGTCAAAGGCTTTCTGAAAATCTAAGTATACTATATCCACTGGATCCCCTTTGTCCACATGCTTGTTGACCCCCTCAAAGAATTCTAGTAGGTTGGTAAGAAATGATTTCCCTTTACAAAAACCATGTTGACTCTTCCCCAACAAATCATATTCATCTATGTGTCTGATAACTCTGTTCTTTACTATAGTTTCAACC